AGAGTCTGCACATGTTGGGTACAGATGCATTTTTTTCCTGAATATTTTCAATCCATGGTTGGTTGAATCCAGGGGTGTGGAAAGCATGGATACAGAAGGCCGCCTGTATGTCTTCTATGCAGTCTGCTATTTAGGGTCACGTCTTCACATACATGAGTTACCACATGCAATATAGAGCACTTGCTTTCTGGGAATTTCCCTTGTACCGGGGCCAGGACCCCACCTCTGTCTAACTCCCTTCTCTCCAAGCTTTGGCCACTTCACTTGCTCCTGAGCCAGAATGACCCTAGAAATGACTGACACCATACTCTGGTTATGAAAGTCAGCTGCTACACCGTTACCACTCACTAAGGAGACTCCATGTTGATGGATAAAGAGAGAATATGGTACCTGGACCCCGGACAGCCTGGACCCAAGGCAGCTCTGTCTTCCCCAAGGGTTGCCTGGAAGAGCTGTTACTATGAGCAGGAAGTATGAAGAAATTAATTCCCTGGAACCAGGAAGTGATAGGAGATTGGAAGGAACCCACATGTAAAGTGCCCACCCTTCTTCCCCAGGAGACACTATTCTGTATGCACCTGGGGTCTCTCTAGAGGCATCCCACACAACTGTGCAACAAGCTGTACTGGTGAATGGCTGTGGTCAGCTCAAGGATGTTCTACCTCTTATTTGCCCTCTCCTTCCCTGTATCAGTTCTCTTTTTCTCTCACTCTTACTTCCCTGGTATCGTAACCCCCCCACCCCCAATAAAGTATTAGCACATAAGCTTTTTGCCTCTGTTTTCTAGGAAACCTGGGCTAAGACTCCAGATCATTAGTTGAGACTGATCATTTAATTATATGAAAATGCAGTTGGCAGACTGCAGCAATAGGCATGAGTACTGGAGAACACCGGCCACTAAAATTCCTTTCCTCTTTCCCCTCTATGACTCACCAGTATAGCAAACAACTCCATGCTTACGTAGCTTCTGGAGTAGAAACTCCAGAATCGTAACTTTTTTTGATAAAAGGAATAAATGTTTCAATATTTTATATCCATAGCTATATCTCTAATTTTTATGCATTGAAGGATTCTCTTTGCTAAGATTCAGGAAGACCTTTTAATTTAAATTGCCTGTTACTGTGAAGAGCACTAAATAAACCCCTTCAAAATTCAAATTACATAGTTATTTGGGGGTGTTACATCTTACAGCTAATTCATTCTTATAGAACTACCAAAAAATGGAATTCTATCTAAAATTAAATCCATGGAGGGGCAAGACACAAATTCTATATACTTGAGATAGTGCTATATAATATCAGTCCTTAAGACATTTTGGACCTAACTTGATTCTTCCATACTTCATGGTACATACTCTGGAGTATGAGCTGGACATTGGTCAGCATACATTGGCAGGTATGATGTCATTTTAGGTATGTCTGAGGTCCGTCTGAGAGAGACATGCTAGTGTCCTAAGTATTTATTATAGAATGTCAGCTCTGTCACAGGCATATTTAGTATTGAAGACACAGAGATTCAACAGTACAGAATAACAGGACCTCAAGGACTCACCAGAGAATTCATCTGTGAACTAGAAATTGGGCATTTGCCAAAGGAAGATGTAGCTTGTTGTCTAATATTTGAGAAAATGGCCTTGAAGACAAGCTAATGCTCCATTCATCTCACTTACCTAAGCTCCACTGCCATTAATTTAGGGTTTTCAGTAATATTAATAATTCTGTATTATAGAATTTTAATATTCCAAAGAAATGCTTTCACTGAATTATTATTCAATGTCAATATCCTTAGCTTTTAGAGAAGAAACAGCCATGTAATGAATGTTTCCAAGTATTTTGCAAAATCATAATTAAAAAATGTGGTCTACTCTGGTAGACCAAAGCTCTTTGTTGAGCTAGGAGAGAAAAACCCACCATGCTCAGAAAATAGTTATTTGACTTGAGACATTATTATTTATTTATTGTTATTATTTGCTTTGGCTTATAAAATATTCAAAAGGTAAATAAAGCACTCAACTGCAATAATGTGCTTTTTAGGTAACTGATAAAACATTTCTTCCCTTTTGATTAATGTTGGCCTCCTTATAAGATTTAACTGTCCTCTTTTATGATTCTCATATTGAAGTAGCCCCAAATCTAAAAAAATTAACTAAATATGCAATAAAGTTATTAAATATGTAGTTGTAGGAAAAACATATTTACATATATTATAGATGAAACAGGGAATTAAATTATCAAGTTGAATCAGGCAAGTTTTAACAGGATCAATATCAATAAAATATATAGGTGTTGGAAGAAAAAAGAACTGGCAAGTACCCAGCTTTTCCTTCCACATTCCCTGTTTTCCATGTTTTTTGTGCTTTATTGTATTCCTCACGGAAAACGTCCTTATAATAGCACTTTTCTTTTTCTTTTTTTTTTGGTGTAAGAGTTGGGGTCTTGCTCCATTGTCCAGGCTGGAGTGCAGTGGTGTAATCATAGCTCACTGTCACCTCAAACTCCTGGGCTCAAGCAATCCTCCTGCCTCAGCCTCCAGAGTAGCTAAGACTACAGGTATGTGCCACTGTGCCTGACTAATTTTTTAAATTTTTTGTGTAGAGATGGGGGTCTTACTATGTTGCCCAGGCTGGTCTCAAACTCCTGGGCTCAAGCGATCCTCCTGCCTCAGCCTCCCAAAGTGCTTTTTCTCTACATCTACTTCTTTCTTCTTCTCAATGCCTTTAACCACTATACCCATCAGATTGGAGCTATATCTGATAGTATATGCATGAACTCAAATTTAAAGATTTATAAGGATCATGGTATATTATAAGAACAATATATTTCTCCAAAGTTCATAGTGAGTTAAAAATATTTCAATTTGTTTCTTTTGAATAGTTTCTTCAGGACAGTCTAAAAATTCATTTTAGTAGCAAATACTTTACTTTTTTTTTTTTTTTTTTTACAGAAGGTAAAGCAGAATAATTTATATTTATAAACTGAAAAGTTTTTTTTTTAAACTAAAGTCATTATTGATATTGTCTTCCTGAGATGTTTATGATCAATTTCCCTATTAAGTGGCCACATGAACATAACTTATAAGCTTCACAGGGTCCATATCAAAGTAAATCATTTTATAATTCTAGATCAAAATGTTTTCTCTTAGCAAATTTTCCAAGTATTTAGTTATTTGAAATATTAAGAGATAGAAGTGGTCATCTACTTCTTCCCTTTAATAAAATGATGAAATCAGTATTAAAATCATGGGACACAATCTCTAGTTATTAATTGAGGGTATTAATAGCATAACAGAAAAGCAGACTTCTTTCCAATTTCACCAGCAATACCATTTATCATGTCTGTTTTCAGGTGATTAGACTGGTGTAAAAAAAAAAAAAACAAAATCAAGAAGGATGAGGTCAGAACACTGCACTGAAAATTAAAAGTCCCTAGCTAGAAGTTTATTCACCTTAAGGGCTGGATTTTTTTTTTTTTTTAATCCCAGCACGGTATGCAGCTCAAAGTCAACATGGAGGATAAAAATTTCAAATTATGAGTCTTTGAAATTGCAAGACGAATAAACCTGTGTCAAGGAAGGGATACTGAAGAGACCAATTGTATTGGAGCTATGAACTTGCAGAAAGATTTTCAAGACCTTTTATTACAAAAGAATCCAAGATGTTGGGTCTAACAAAGGTAAATGTCACAAGAAACTGAAACTCAGACCCAGACAAATACACACACATATATAGTTTTACCTTGCTGCGTTGGGATCCTGTGACCTTAAGGAAGGATGAGGACAAGAAGCAAAATAGCAATAAACAACTGCTCTGAAGACAACTGATAGACCGTAAATGGTGTGCACTTCAGAAAAACAGTATTATCTGCTGCTCACAGGGCATTCTAATTTAACTCAGTTGCTTATCAATAAAGATGGATTTGAGAATAGAACATACATATATTAGGAAAGATTATAGTGCCATAGAAAAATTAATCTTATGGTATTTTTCTCAGCCAGCAACAGTCACGGGTTATCCTCAAATTAAATTGTTTTTGTATTTTCAACACATTGACTTCAGATGCTCATATCAAATTGTTCCTGGATAGGCAATGCTCTGAGCTCCCTCCTCAGCTATATGTTTTTGTGGGGTCCACTTTAATTAAAGATTCATTGCTGGCTACTGCTATGTTTCCAGACTTCTAGCTCAAAGGCCAGATGTGTAAATTAATAGGAAAAAAAAAAAAAGAATCTAATCTCTATTTCCTTACACTTAATTTCTTTTTGAAGATTCTAAAAAAAGGAAAAAAAAAAAAGGAACCAATAAATGAGAAAGGTGGTAGTTAGCAACAACTAGTTTTTCCCATACAAAGCAAAAGTACACTATAAGCAAAGAGGGAAAATAATATTAACTTTCCTTCCAGCTAATTAACATTAAGCAGCATTTCAAATTATATGGGATATTTAAAGGCTGAGAATGTTTGAGAAAATAATCATAAAATACAATACAGTCCTAGGAATATATGCACTCCTAACTCATGCAAGCAAACTGCGTCGTGTGCCGCCACCTACATATGTGCACGGAATGAGTGACCTAATCGGGCAGAAGTCAAAAGAGGCCAAATCTTTAAGACTTCAATTCAGGAACAAATACCACACCAAGGGTTTAATTAAAAACTTGATGTTATGTTGCTCTTCAATAAATATTTTCTTCACATGTCTATTGGAAATTCCAGACCACAACATCACTGAGATGAGGACAATTTAAAGCTGTCTCATCTCGGATGGTTCGCAGGAACACTCATTCTGAACATATGGGCTTTATTCTATTATTTAACTATTCTATGGTTTTTGTTCTTAACTTCAGCAAATGTTAGGACTCGGGTGTGTCCATCCAGCTCTGACATGCAGTTCCTTGACACAATAAGCTGCAATAAGCCATGAAGCAAGAAACAGAAATGTCAGTTATAAGCTATGAAACAATGTTTCAAGATAGAAAGAGGCATGTCTAGAAAGATCAATCTTACTTCAAAACTCTTCACTTCTTCTTCACCATCATCATCTTCCTCATCATGACAACTCTGATACATGTAAAAAAAAAAAAAAAAAGAGTGGACAGGGATATGTTGAGGCAGAAAGTACAAAAGAATTATTTAACATAGAACACCAAATCATTCGTAATTTACTATCAACATTGTTTAACTACATATATACATATATTACATATACTACTTAGATGACATGATTGATGAATTCATGACCATATTTATAACCAGAAAGAAAATTATATATAGTGCTTTTATAAGATTAAAATATTAAATTACCTAATTATAAATAACATAGAGATAATTACGAGGTCCATATCATACTACACATACTACTTATTCATGCATTTTTCTGGTACAAACCAAATTGTAAATCTTGAAGACAAGGATTCTTCTCTTTTTTCCATGCTGTCATTAGAATGCACTAATACAGGCACATGCAATAACCATTAATTAAAATTAATGGAAAGCAGTGTCCATTAATTAAAGTGATTCTTCTAATCTTTTTAAGTTCACTTTTCATCGTAATTCACTCAAAGGAATAAAGAGAAATTCTAACTGCTACCTATAATCTACTTTATACATAAAAACAATAAAAATGACTATTCTATTATTTTGGGGTAACTTTCCCAGAAATGATATAGGATTTGTGCTGAACCACGCACGTATTCTTATCTGATTCCCACAGCTGAAATTTTCGCTTGCTAAGGAGGCAGAAGGGTATGGTGGTTAGTACCATGGGCTCCAGAAACACAGTGCCTGCTTCAAATACCAATGCTGGCAGTTAGTAGCTGTGCAGCCTTGGGCAAGTTCCTTCACCTCTCTGTCTCCATCGCTTTATATTTAAGAAGGCATAACTAAAAGAGTACCTGGGTTCTTGAGAGGAGCTCATGATTTAATACATGTAAATTATATGCCACTTAGAAAAAAAGTGTCTGAAGAATAATAAACTTTTAATAAATCTCAGCTGCTATTATTATGGTTTGGAGTATAATGGTGACCAGAGGAAAGTGGTCATTAACCAATACCTACAGTAGGAAGAAATCTACAGCTCTTCAAAAGTAGATTGTTCCATTCCTTCTGAATATTTCTACACTTGGTAAGCATTCAGTGTATCAGTGAGGTGTATGGGGGCAAATGGTAACATATATAAGTTACAAATCAGAAAAATACTTTTAATTGAATGAGTTGCAGTCCTCTGGGCCTGGAGATGAACTGGGTGTGGGAAGGAGACTGGCCACTCAATGATAAATCCTAAAAGGCTTATCACATTCTTTCATTCATTCAACAAATATACATTGAACACCTCCCTTTCCATTCAGAGTAACAGGCATGCGAACATGGTTTGCAAGGGAGGAAATAAAGACGGGGACATGGACCTGTGACAATTTCACTATATGGGTAAAGTGCTAAATGGCATGTTTCACCACAAAAGCAATGATATTAATGATTCGTTCAGAGAGCAGGACATTTTCTACTATGTGTTAATGTTCCCCTGCCTCCTAAGTCATCAGTTAACCAGGAATTTAAAAAATAAGAACCCATCAGAACTTTAGTAAAATCGATTTGGAAGGCAAATGTGCAGTCCTCCATAAATACGTCCTGTTTATCTAATGTCAAAGTAAGCGGAGTTTTGCTTATCTGCTCCTTAAGATTAACTATTCTAATGTCTCCCATTAGAATTAAAGGCAAACTAATGAGGAATTAGCATTAGTTAATGGGAATGAAAAGTACAAGGAGTTTATCAGATAACAAGCATGTTTATTATTTAAGCAGATCAGAATACTAATACAAAATATATACATATATATATACATATATTTTTTTTTTTTTTGGAAACAAAGTTCTCGCTCTGTCACCCAGGCTAGAGTGCTGTGGCATCAGCCTCACTCACAGCAACCTAAAACTCCTGGGCTCAAGTAATCCTTGTGCCTTAGCCTCCCAAGTAGCTGGGACTATAGGTGCATGCCATGACGCCCAGCTAATTTTTCCTATTTTTAGTAGAGACGGGGTCTCACTCTTGCTCAGGCTGGTCTCAAACTCCTAGCCTTGGCCTCCCAGAGTGCTAGGATTACAGGCACAAGCCACTGTGCCTGGCTTCTAGCAACTGTTTAATGTACAGGACAGAAACAGAAGGATTTACACGCATAAGAGATATGATCTTCAGTAGCAAATGGCATCCATGTAACATATATGAAAATACTAAGCAAACAGAGAGCTATATCAGACAGTCTTGCAGCATGGAATTTTGCTTCTGGATCAGAATGCTAAATTCTAAGCAAAGGAGAGTTATACCATATGCCAATTAAGAAAAACATGAATAAGACTCATACATAAAGAGGCAGAAGCACGGATTATAGAATTTAGAAGAAAAAAAAAAACAGAAAAAAAATAAAATAGAGGACTCAGTTCAGACCATTCAGATATCCAGAACAAAATTCAAAACTGTCAATGAGAGTACATAACGCAGCAAATAGGGCATGTGAGCTTGTCAGCGTCTGCTAAAAATTTCATTCTGCAAAAGAAGTATATTTCATACATTCTTTGGTGTCTTTCTGATTGGATAACTCCTCAGAAGACTGAGGAATCAAAAAACAGAAACTTCCAGTCTGAAACTAAATCTGACTAGCATAGAGCTAATGGGTGAGAAATCTCGTAAGACAGTGACCTTGGCTTTTTATAATTTTTTTTTTTTTGGAGACAGAATCTCGCTCTGTTGCCCAGGCTGGAGTCCAGTGGTGTCATCACAGCTCACTGCAACCTCAAACTTCAGGGCTCAAGGGATCCTCCTTCCTCAGCCTCCCTTATAGCTGGGACTACAGGTGTTTACCACACCCAGCTAATTTTTTCTATTTTTAGTAGAAATGGGGTCTTGCTCTTGCTCAGGCAGGTCTCAAACTCCTAAACTCAAGCAATCCTCCACCTCAGCCTCCCAGAGTGCTAGGATTAAAGGCATATGATTATATACATTCAAATTAAGGTAGATGAATCAGTCTGGGAAAGGGTATAGAAATACCAGCTGTTTACCAGCAACTTAGATAAATAGAGAAATCAATCGTACTTATCAAGTTTTTGGTTAACATAAATGGAAACAGATGACACTAATGACAGACTGAATGAATGTTAAAAAAGATTTCAGTCTTTGATGATGGTCTGACTTGAATTAGAGAAATGATAACATATACTCAATTTAAAAAATTAAATCAACTGTGTAAATACAAGGTATGTGATAAAAAACTCAATAGAGATTCATAAATAACCTAGAATTTTCGGTGACAGTCAAGCTGAAAAGTTGACAAAAAATGTGATTAGGCTGCTAAAAATTTAATGCATTCTTAAAATCGATGGCAAATGCATAGGGTCTAAGGCAGAATAAATGCAGATACAATACCCACATGCACTACACTGGTGAAGTCATAACTGGAACACTGCGTTCAATTTACTTCTGGGTGGCACATACTGAAATACTGGAGCACGTGCAGGGTGGAAAAACTTAAGAGGTACAGGCCTTGATATTCCCAGGGTACGTTAAACAGTAAGAGAAATAAAATTATTTAATTATGAAGGGGAAAATCTTGAAAGAAAAGATGAGCCGGTTAGCCATCTACAAATACTTGATCATCTATCAAAAGAGATTAGATTCAGCTTTAGGAGACAAGAACAGCAAATGTGGAGGCAAATTCTGTTTCAGTCACAAGGAAGAACTTTAACAATCAGAAATCTACTTTTCTCTTAGGCCAGGCGCAGTGGCTCACACTTGTAATCCTAGCACTCTGGCAGGCCGAAGAGGGAGGATTACTTGAGGTCAGGAGTTCGAGACCAGCCTGAGCAAGAGTGAGGCCCCATCTCTACCAAAAGTAGAAAGAAATTAACCAGACAACTAAAAATACATAGAAAAAATTAGCCGGGCATGATGGCACATGCCTGTAGTCCCAGCTACTTGGGAGGCTGAGGCAGAAGGATTGCTTAAGGTCAGGAGTTCGAGAAATATACTGTTCTCCAAACCAGAAGCTTCTACCTGTTTGGCCCATTTCGGTTCAGTTGCAGAGGACACCCGTCCCGTGGGCTGCTCTACAATCTCTTTGTCAGCTCCCTCTTTCCTCACTTCCTTCTGAGCCACCTCCTAGCAGCACATGAACCTGCTTTGATCTCCTGTCCTTGACAGAAGTCTGGCAAAAATCCTGACCCTTGATGAATCTAACTTCCCTCCTCTGAATTTGGATTTGGTTTTGTGAACTGCTAGAGAAAACTTACTCAACCAGGAAGACTGATACTGCCACAGATTCACAGACGACAGCCTAAACCAGACTTTCTACGCTGCCTGGGAATATTAGTTTAATTTCTAGTCACTACACCATGCCAATTGCCACAACTCTCTTTCAACTCTTCCCTGTCTCTTCAAAACTTCCTCTCCCTGCTCCCTCCACCTAACCCTTCAGTCTCAGCAGATGACTGTCCTTCCGGTCCTTCCATCTTCAGAGAGAGAACAGATGACCCAAAAATGAAATATGTACGATCTGCCATTATCCTGGCATCCTCCCTTTTTCCCTTTGTATCTTTTATTCTTTTATCTTTTAACCCAGTGTTCACTAAACTATGGGTTTCAACCCATTAATTGGACGTCGATTTAGTGATTCATTATCTGAAACAATTTTTTTATTTAATTAGAATAAAAAATTTCAGATTATATTGCTCATAGGAAGGACATGATTTCATGAAACTTTTCTTTTGTGGTATATATTTTTATTTTTTATTTTTTAAATATACAGCCGACCCTCTGTATCCATGAGTTAATTCCACATTCACGGATTCAACCAACCGTGGATAGAAAATATTTGGGGGAAAAAATGGATGGTTGCATCGGTACCAAACATACACAGACTTTTTCTCCTTGTCCGTGTTCCATAAACAATGCTGTATTGCAGCATTTACATTGCATTTACACTGTATTAGGTATTATAAGTAATCTGGAGATGATTTAAAGCATATATGGGAGGATTATGTAGGTTGTATGCAACTACTACACCACTTTATATAAGGGACTTGAGCATCTGTGGATTTTGGTATCCAAAGGGGGTTCTGGAACCAATCCCCCATGATACTGATAGGTGACTATACAGGGCAAATATATTTCCCGCTGTGGGTTATGTCTTAAAATAGAATTAGGAAGCCACGGCTTTCCCCTATGCCCTGTAACCTGTCTTCTCCAGAGGCTCTCACCTACTCAAGGCCTCACTCCATGGAGACTCTCTTGCCCATTCTGCTGGCTTTTTCCCATAAGAAAAAAAGTGTGCTTTTAAAAAAAGAGACAAGTGGCAAACAACAAAAATAATCCCCCTTCGACCTCACAATTCCATCTAGATATTCACCACCTTTTATCCTTCTCCTCCCTCTCGATCTTCCCAGTAAAGGAATGTCTATGCCGCATCTCCTCACATCTGCATCCCTACTTGCTTATGTCCGTGTAATAAATGCCGGGGAATTTTCAATCCTTATCTTGGTCAACCTCTCAGCAGAATATGATTTTACTGACCACACACTTACTCCTATAGCTCAAAATCTGAAACAAGCAAATTATACTAGCTCACACTTAAGGTTCTCTTTTTTTTTTTTGATGGGCTCCTTTTCTTCTAACCAGTTCTTAAATTTCCGTTTCCTTCCAGGCTTGATCGTAGGCCTCCTTCTCTTCCCACACTGTTGTCTCCTTCTGGGTGAGATCATACATCGCAGTGGCTTCAAATACCATCTAATGCTGATGAATCCCAAGTCTATGTTTATAAGCCGACCTGAGATACCGACTCAGACACGAGCGTCTAATTGCAAGTCTGACACCTACACTTAAATATCTCACAGGCATCGTTAAAATGTTCGAAATTTATTTTGTCATCTTCCCTCTTCACTCCAGGCCTGTAATGATCCAGGTGCTCCCATCTCGGTACATGGTGCCCAAGTCAGAAGTCTGAGCAAAACCTTGAGACCTCTTTGATGCCAATTTCCTTGTTCATCCTCTTGTTGAGAGGAGTAAATGGAATAAACATTCAGTAAGTACCAGTCGTTACTGCTTTTGCATGTCCAACTCATGGTTCAACAGTCAAAGCCTTCCCTAAGCAGGCCTCATTACTGTGCTATGTAACCTGTTCTCAATACGTCTAATAGTTCCTCTACATTAAACTGATCAGTTTTTTAAAAATAATTATTTACTTAAATTTTATCTTCCCCATAATATGATAAACTCCAAGAAGGTGTGGTGTGTGCTCTTCTTTCTTACGTACATGTTATCTCCAATACCTTGATACCCAGTGGATATTTGTTGAATGAGTGAATGTTTGGAAAATTAGTGAGCTCCCATAAATAAAATGTTAAAGTAGGAAACAATGATTACTGGTCAAGATAGTTAGAGCAGAGATTCATAAAACAAGTGAAAAGTTGAGATTAATGCCCCTTCTCTTTCTAAGATTCGACAATGTTTTGTTTTAATCCAGAAATACATAGATTCTTATCCTTGTTCAGATGACAGTGATTTCTCTGTATTAAATTACACATTAAAATCAGGAAGGATACTTACTTACCTTTGCCATAATATCCGCATAAGCCATATACAAAAAATCTTCCTCCAGTTTGCTGTGGGAAACAATAAAAAAATAACATCAATTTTTAAGTAGAAGGCTAGTCCTCTGTTTTTTTCTAACAAGTATGCATTTTAAAAATTAAATGAACACAAAACTTAGACAACAGTAATCACTCAGAAATATCCTAGACTCAGAAAGCAAAGATCTCAGGGTTCCTAAATTGCTGTCCCATCTTACCTCACAGAAGGGCCTTCAATTCTCACAGAATAAACGGTCTTTTGATTTACACACAAATAAAATAACTTTAATTTTCTTCAGACTACAAAATTTGAAACAAGCAAATTTTAATGAGGTAGGGGCTTTTGACATCAGAAGTGAAATTTGACATTTGATGGGAAGACACTCCAAATTATTATGTTACAATTAAAAAATAAGATGGTTATAATGATGATTCTTAAAAATTAAGAAAGGTTAAAATATGTTCATTATCCTCTTTTGAAGAAGTATGGAAACTTTAATACATAAATAAAGGTTTCCATCAAAAAATACCTAAAATTTGCAAAGTTATTGTAGCAGTTTTAAACTTCAGTCATGAGAAAAATTCACTACGAGAAATACCTCATTACCTGACAATGCCAGACAGAGAGTTGCTCTATGCTTAGGGATGAGATGATTGTGTTAGTTAGGAAATAGTAAGAGAAAGAGAAATAGTGAGAGAAAGGATGGATCACATTAGCTAAGAAGGAGAAATGTATATTATTATGGCATGCAAAGAGGTCACATGAATTCTTCGGGACTTCTGAGATTTATGCAGACGCAGGCTGATAATCAAATATTATCTTCCAGGTTCTGCAGAGAATGGGTGAGGCCTGGGGCAAAGCAGGCTTTCTTTCATATGACAGGGAAGCAGACAAATATTCTATAACCTCTGCAATGTCCCATCTCCAGAGCCGATCTATGTAATGAGCAGATGCTGAGCACATTTGGATTATGGGCCCTTACAGTGCATTTCTTCAATTCCATAGAGGTTTGCCCTTTGTGGCTTTGGTGAATTTGCATAACTAAAACTACAGAGGGCCAAAAAAATAAAAAATAAAAAGGGCAATGTCCTTAAAATAGATCTCAGAGATACTTCCAAGTTGAAATGATGGCTCGCCCAGCCCCTAAAGGTTACCTGAGACCCACCGCACAATGGAGATACAATCTACCCAGGAAATCTTGGGTCACCATCAGTCTCTACACACTGCTGGCACTGCAATTTGCTTTGGGTTTTTTGGGGTTTTTTGATTGTTTGTTTTATTTATAAAAGCTGTTTGTGATAAAGAGAAACATCATTTTATAAGAAAAATCAGAATCAAAGATATCAGCTAATTACAAAGTAGTTAAGAAAAACTAGAACTCATGGGTAGGTACTAAAGCCTGAAACTGAACGAACGTTGGTCAGGAGATGCATGCCAGACGGCTCATATCTTTGAACAACTCTGTCTCCTAACAAGACAAGATGAAATTGAAGCATGAATACATGAAACACAGAATACTCAGACATGAGTTTCTTTATTTGCTCCTCCTATGTCTCATATGAACCCTCCCAACCATACCATTTCTCTGTTAAAGCTGTTCGACTAAACAGAAGGATCAGCTGATGCAGAGGATCAACTCTCTTAGTGCCTTCATCTTCTTCTGGAGGTTCGGCCCCGGGTTTCTATAAAAAAGTCAAATTGGTAAAATTTCACATTTGAAAGAAATGTTCACTCAAATCCAGGATCAATAAGAGTTATAGGAACAAGGAATAAAAGGAAAGCCCTACTTTGCCTATTGTTGCATGTGTGTGTGTGTGTATGTATTTTACATGTATTATACATGCTATAAATATGTGTGCATCTATATGTATGTATTTATGTATGTGTGTTGTGTGTATATGAGCTATATAATGTAATATATGCAATACAATGCACTTATAAATGTAATGTGTGTTATATATGCATTACATTACCAGAGAAAGACTATGCACCTTAAAACAAAATAATTTGACCAAAAAAGGTACAGGCAAGGAGAACTTAAATAATTTAAAAATTCTGAATGCTATTCTTATAAGCAGATTTATAATTATCTGAGAGTGTATTTGCTACATAAATTTTAGCTTTAGGGAGGGGTCAATTTAAAAAAATTTGCAATAAAATGCTGTCACCTAAGTATAAAAATTTAGCCCACATAACAACGAAAACTGCTTTTCAAGTGGAACATTTTCTTTGCCTACACAAAGAAT